ACTGAATGATTAGCCATGTGTTATCAGGGGAGAAGATTGAAAGTCAATTAAAGCTTAGACTCTAGACAAGGAAAGACTGTCGAATTCGAGGCTCGAGCATAAGTGAGATATCACTTAGGAAGAGCAACAATTCTAACATCAAACAAATTTTTATGGGCCATAGTCTTTCCAAAGGTAACGGAGGTAGAGCTAAACAATGAAATCGTCAAATTTCAAAATCGAACCAAAATCGCTCAATCCACTTGGATTCGTCAAAGTTTTGATTTTGAACAAAACCAAACCGCTTTGAATTGATTTGATTTATGTTTTAATATTTGCAAATTGTCAAATCGTTTTATAAAAAATATATAAAAATAAGTTAATCTAAATTTTATCCACCTCAAGTAAGCATAATGGATTTAAACTCAATATCTAAATAGAAAATTATACATCCCAATTCATTAATTTTATCATATTCAAATGCCTATTAGTCACTACAATTGTAAATGTAAAATCGTCAAATTGGATAAAGTATTGAACAATTGCTGCTAAACAGTATTCATTGATAGTCCATTATAATTGAATAGACAATTAAATCTAAATTTTAATTCAAACTTATGTATTTTTCTTCAACTAGTAGTTTTCTCGAATTTTGCCTAAATATTTAGGTAAGTTTATCCAAATTTTCTTATTTTTTGATAATTATTTGCTATATTTTTTTGGCAATTATTTTGTTTTGTTTTAATTATTGTAGGGCTCCCTTACGTTTTTAACTGGCAGCATTTTTATATGATACATATAAATCTAATTTTGCTTAATATTTTAGTGACAATCTATCTCATTACATACTTCCATGATCAATATTCATATAAAATGTGAAAATCTTCAATTAATAAATTATGAGAGGTTAATATGCTAGCTCACATGTTTCGTAAGATAACTCATAATCATGCTAAAAGAATAAAATTTCATTTCATATCTTGAATCAATCGGAGAGTGGTCGAATAGTAAGTGTCACATGCCAAGGATTATATGTTTTAGACTTTAAAAAATTTATAGTGTTGTAAACTCTTAATGCTTATAAAAATACTTTATTCTTATTTGGAATTTCCTAAAATATGAATTTTCTCAAAATAGAACTTTTTAAAAGTAGAACTTTCTTAAATTTGAAATGGTTTGAATTTTTTTTTTTGCACGTTTTATTGAGTTAAATAACACGCAACCAAAAGGCTTTTAGACGAGAAAGGGGGTCACAAGTGGACCATTTAAGTCAAAACTCTTTTTAGACAATTTAGTTTTTTCAATCTTGCGTATATGCAAATCAAGAAAGCTCAAATAATAAGTGAGAACTAGAAATTTCTTAAAATATATTTTCTAATTGGCAAATTCCTATTAAAATTCATTTATTTGAAACTAATAAAAAAAAAAAGTTTACAAAAAAAAGACCTATGCACTGATATCAAATTATCACGCTCTAAATTTTATTGACTTAAAATTTGAGGTGTTACCAATATCACTTCATAATCATACTTGACACGAAAATATTTAATTGAAAAAATTTAACTTTAATTCATTCAAAATCTCATAGCTGAAATAAATCGATCCAAAAATGTTAAATCACAAAACTTGGAACATTTATTATCAATTTAAGACAACATCGCAAACAAATTTAATTTTTAACTTTTTTCTTGAAAATTTTCACTTGGCAACTCGCCACCGTTCAACTACCATCCACATTTGACCAATTTGACCTAAAAACTTAAAATTTGAAGCAATAAATTTTTTTGAATCACCCAATGTCGGTATATGTAGTGGGTAGTTGTTGCTGTAGAACTCCTTTTTTTTTTTTTTTTTCAAATTTACTTATGCGTTCCTATAAATCTAAAGTAAATGATATGAACACCATATTCATGTAAATTACTAATCAATAAGTTTTTGGTTCTAACAAAATAATCTATAGTATCACTATTGAAAAGTATTTCGATTTAGCCCTATGTATCTTTGATGAGTGTAAATTACTCATTAAATTAAAGCTTCTAAATCACATTTTTTGATTTGTTCTTGGGCACTTTTGAACATTTTGATGTGTGTGTTCGTGTTGTTTTGCAGTTTTGACAACTCTTGAGAAAATACCACAATTGGAAGCCTGTGATGAACAAAAATGATAATCAATGAAATGGAGCATGAATAAGATTCAGCGCTGTGGCGCCAGTGCCACTGCCTTGCAATACTTCACTCTATTTTCCAAGCTTATTTTCCATTCCGATTTTCTTCAATACTTGCTTATTCATGCTCCATTTCATTTATCATCATTTTTGCTTATCACAGGCTCCCAATTGTGGTATTTTTTCGAGAGTTGTCCAAATTGCAAAACACACAAACACACACATGAAAACGTTCAAAAGTGCCCAAGAACAAATCAAAAAACGTGATTTAGAAGTTTTAGTTTAATGAGTAAATTACGCTCATCAAACACCCCCAAACATAGTTCTTTGCTTGTCCTTGAGCAAACACCAAACTAAAGATTGTTAAAAACAAACACACAAGCACAACTAAAATAGACAGTTACTTAAAAGAAACATTATGTTAGACACCTTGCATTTGTAGCTCAAGATTAAAAAAATAGCGTCAAATTCATGAATTACTTCAAAACTATAATGCACACGTCAAATTCTCGCTTATTCAATGCAAACGGGTGTGTGTGTGTGGAGAGTTAAGCACAACGCTGTACAATAATAAATTGACCCAATTCCCGACTTTAAAAGTCAAATATTTCTTTGCCTCGCTCGTGGGATTCACACACCCCAAACTTGTTTTCTTTTCTCTTCCCAAGGTGTATTCTAAAGTTGATTTTTCAATACAAATTTCTTACACCGCTCAAGTTTGGTTAGATTTCACTATTGCAGTTTAACCTATCAATAGATGAGGATTCTCCTTATTTTTGACTGCTTCAACCTTTAGGAATCAACCAAGTTACTAACCTCTTATCAAAGGTCTAATCCTCTAAAACAAGTTTTCGGGACTTAATCAAGGCATGTGATATCAAATTTCTTTTCTTTATTTTTTTAAAAATATAAATTTATTCTTTAAACACCCTTTATGTAGACGTCTCTCTTTTAAGCTTTCTAAATGACCCCTGTAGTGAACTTTAGGCTGATAACTCCCAAATTAGACGATTTTAGGGCACCAAATTTTAAACCCTTACGGGCTTAATCACTTGAGTCATCAAGATTACGAAGAGACGATTCACAATAAGATTATTAAAGTTGTCCTCATTGGGATCTTTTTTTTTATGCAATGATTAGTGCAATGCCCCTTATTAAACACCAATTCTCGAAAATCGATCTCTAACTTAAGGTTTTCACCCAATTTTCATCCTATTAGTCTCAGAAAATCCACACAAAATTTAGCACACACGGAATCTACATTTATCTCCAAGTTTCCCTGTAACAGCTTAATCTACCAAACATCCTATATCTGGTTTAAACGTAATGATGTTTAAAGGTTGTTTGGGTTTAGCATCTAAATTCTCTAATCCAAATATAAACATGAATCAACCTACTCATGTACAACGGTACAATCAACCCACGTGCAAAAATAATTTCCGTTTGACACAAATAAGCAAAAATCTAACTCACACATATAACTTATCCATAATCCATAAACCAATACATGTTCTTAATAGTATACATCATCGCCGGCAAGGCTATCTAACTCACACAAGCATGCAAAACACGAAATGAAACTTTTTTTTATTTTAAAAAACGATCACACAAAATAAAGAATTAGGCAATTTTAGACAATTTAAAATACACTCCCCCAAACTTAAACAACACATTGCCTTCAATGTGAAAATGGAAGAAGGGAAAGAAAAATACCTCAGTGAGGACATCAACTATCTTCCTCGCCATCGGGTGGAGCAGGAGGGTGTGAAGGAAGTGGAAGTGAGCTCGGGATGTGCAGATGCCATGACTGCCATGTAAGCATGCTGATATTGAAATTGGTCAAAGATGGTGGATTGTAGATGATTCATTTGTACTTGCATGCCATCCTGCCATCGGGTCATGGGCAAATCCATGGCTTCAAGACGTCGAAAGATGTCCCCCGTAGCATCAGAAGGTTTTGGAGGTGGTGGTGTAGGAGGTAATGGATGAGATGACTGAGAAGAGCTAGGCACTTCCTGATGTCTCACACGCCTATCACGGAGTTCTCGTGTAAGTGGTTGTTTCGGGTGTAACACTTCATCAGTTTCTCGCACGGGAACACTCCCGTGTATGGAAAGGTCATGGATCAAAGAGGGGTGACCCAAACTGCCTGTAGAGGGCCTGGCAAGGATGCGAAGAATGCTGTTTTGAATGACTCGGCTAACATCAATAGAATACCCTTTCTGAATCATAAAATTCAGTAAGGCCCGTTCTTTGGTGACCTCGCTGGTGTTACTACTGGGGATCAGTTTGGATGATATGAAGTGGTGCCAGATTTTATAGTTAGGTATCAGACCAGAGGAAGGGAAGTGAGTTACATCACTAGCTGATCCTTTCCATTCAGTACCGAGATGAGCTATAGTGCAAATTATCTCCTCGGGATTGACCCCCTCATCACGGAGTCGAGAATAGTCATCATTGGGTATATCCCGTGTGTGGTAGAACTTGTTAACTGACGCACTGTCAAACTTGATCCAAAAACCTCGGACAAAGACCTTGAAGTTCTCGTGTTCAATGGCGTTGGCATAGGACTCTTTCACCAAAGAAATGGATGTAGCAGTAGGTTGCTCGGTAAACTTCTCCCATCCCAAACTGTATATTTTATCTGGCAGAAAATTTTCAAGGCCCCTCTCAGGAATGCAATTTTGATGTACCACACTGTGTTTATAGCGTTCATCTGCTTCGAAACTAATGAATCGTCTTCGATCAAACGTTGTAGTAGAGGAAGAGGCAGTGACCTTGGATTTATTTTGAGGAGACATGGAGTAAGTGTTCTTTCCCAATATCACGTGAAGTTAACCGGCCACCTAAACCAATTCAATGAATTTGTCTCAGAAAATGAAGTATGTCCCAAGTAGACATGAAAATCTTTAATGAAACAATATATCGAACATGTGGTGGGCGGCTAGAATAAACATGTACAAAGCCTAATGCAGGTCATAAAAAATATCCCACGAATAGCGCAAAAGAAGTCTTTGGTGAAATTTATCGAACACTTTGTGGGCAAGACAATAAATTAGTAGTTAGGAAAATTCAAGCCCATAGAAAATTGCAAAGTCTTCTAACATAGATTCCAACATTGACAAAGAATGTCAAAGAGGCAGAAGAACAAACACATTGTAGGCATACAACAAAATAATTTCGAAGATTAAACAAAAACCCACACAATCTTTACCAAAACGCAATCCAACAAAGAAAAATGATAGTGTGACGTAGTCCCAAACAAGATTACCATTATGAGTTCAAATTAAGCCAAATGAAGGAAAATTGCATTTTAAAAGAACGCGTGTATGTTTAAAAAGAATTAAAGGGTTTGGGGATAGGGAGATAAAAAAAATAAGGAACCGTGTGTATGTTTAAAAAAAAGGGTTGGGCACCACGGCACCAGAGTTGCTGAATTTTATTTTATTTTATTTTTTAAATTATTTTTTTAGGAGTTTGCGCTGCAGCGCCCAATATGGGCGCCACGGCGCCAACTTTTCTGAAAAAGGTAATTTTTTTAATTATAAATACCTCCAACGTATTCCCCTCCCATATTGACTAGAGTGTCGATGCAACCATTTTTGAGTATAACCCTACAAAATAAAAAGAAAATGAATTTACCAAATTTGCCTAAGAAGAAAATTACATGTCTAAATAATGAAAAGAAACTTAAGGAATAGAACTTGGGTTGCCTCCTAATAAGAGTTTCTTTTACGTCTTTAGCTGGACGTGAACGTGGTATTAAGTTAGTTCATCAAGGGTAATTTCTTCCACATCCCTGTTTTCTTCTCCATAGTAATACTTGAGGCAATGCCCATTTGCCTGAAAGGTAGACCCATCCATGCTTACTAACTCCACTGCACCATAAGGGAACACCTTACGAATTACAAATGGTCTCGGCCACCGAGATTTGAGCTTGTCAGGAAAGATTTTCAAGCGAGAATTGAATAGAAGAACTTGCTCTTCTGCCTTGAAATCCTTCCTTAGGATACTCTTGTCTTGCCACATTTTTGTCCGCTCCTTGTATATCTTTGCATTTTCGTATGCATCATTCCAGAATTCCTCCAACTCATCAAGCTGCAACAAGCGTTGTGGACTGGCCAATTTCATATCTAAATTCAATTTTTTCATAGCCCAATAAGCTCGATGCTCCAATTCCACGGGCAAATGACAAGCTTTTCCGAATACCAGACGGTAGGGTGACATTCAAATTGGTGTTTTAATGGCTGTTCGGTATGCCCAAAGAGTGTCATCTAGTTTGAAAGACCAGTCCTTTCGATTGGTTTTCACTATCTTTTCCAAAATATGTTTAATCTCTCTGTTAGACACCTCTGCTTGCCCATTTGACTGTAGATGATAACCGAGTGCCAACTTGTGCTTGAAATTATACTTAGCTAGAAGAGAGTTGAATAGCTTGTTACAGAAATGTGTACCTTCATTACTTACTATTGCCCTAGGTGTACTAAAACGAGTAAAGATATTTTTCTATTGAAGCCTCAAAACCACCGTTGCATAATTTGTTGGTGTAGCAATGGCTTCAACCCATTTAGATATATAGTCATCTGCAAGGAGAATGTATACCTAACCAAAAGAAGGTGGGAACGGACCCATGAAATCAATACTCCACTCATCAAATAATTTCACCTCAAGCATATTAGTTAATGGTAGCTCATAATGTCTTGAAATATTTCCAGTACGTTGACAATGGTCACATGTTTTCACAAAAGTATAGTAGTCTTTGAACAGATTCCGCCAATAGAAACCGAATTGCAATACCTTTGTAGTAGTACGCGTAGGGCCGAAATGACCTTCATAAAGTGAGGAATGGCAATGCTGCATGATTGATTGTGTTTCTTCCACAGGGACACACCGCCTGATTATTCTATCAACACACCTTTTGAACAATATTGGATCATCCCACAGATATGACTTGACGTCATGGAGGAATTTCTTCTTTTGATGAAAGGTCAAGTCGGGTGGCAATCTTCCAAACACTAAGTAATTAACAAAATCAACATACCATGGGATCTTTGTTGATATAGCTAGCAAGATCGCGTCAGGGAAAGTTTCTCGAATTTGATTGTCATCCACCACCTTTTCATTCTCTAATCGTGAGAGGTGGCCTGCAACGACATTCTCACTCAGACGACATCTCACGGTCTTTCTTATTCCGCTCTGCATCAAATTCCTGTAGTAGCAATATCCATCGAATTAGGCGTGACTTGGCATCCTTCTTTTCAAAGAGATAACGGATTGCAGCATGGTTTGTGTAAATTATCACTTTGGTGCCAATGAGGTAGGATCTGAATTTGTCACATGCAAACACTACTGCTAGCATTTCTTTCTCTGTTATGGTGTAATTTAGTTGAGCTCCATTAAGAGTTTTTCTGGTGTAGTGGATTGCCCAAAAAATCTTATCACTCCGTTGTCCCAAAACCGCCCCTACTGCGTAGTCACTGGCATCACACATAACCTCAAATGGCTGATCCCAATCTGGTGCTACCATCACTGGAGCAGTGACTAATTTAACCTTTATGGTTTCAAAATCCCGTAAGCAGTCTTCATCAAATACGAATGTTGTGTCTTTCTCTAAAAGATTACATAGGGGTTTTGCTACTTTTGAAAAGTCTTTGATAAATCTCCCGTAGGATCCAGCGTGCCCTAAGAAACTTTGAATGCCTTAGTCATTGGTGGGTGGTGGTAGCTTTGCAATTGCATCAATTTTTGCCCTGTCTACTTCCAGTCCCCTTGTTGAAACATGGTGGCTTAGCACAATTCCTTCTTGTACCATGAAATGACACTTTTCCCAGTTTAGAACTAAACTCTTTTCCTCACAGCGTTGCAGCACTAAGTAGAGATTGTGAAGGCAGTTATCAAAAGAAGTGCCAAACACTGAAAAGTCATCCATAAATACCTCTATAATGTCCTCAACCATGTCCGCAAAGATCATCATCATGCATCTCTGAAAAGTGGCTGGTGCATTGCATAACCTGAATGGCATCTGTCTGTAGGCAAAAGGTCCATAGGGACAGGTGTATGTTGTCTTTTCTTGATCTTTTGGTGCTATAGCAATCTGGTTGTAGCCTGTATATCCATCAAGAAAACAATTGTAAGAGTAGCTAGCTAATCTGTCCAACATTTGATCGATGAACGGGAGAGGAAAATGATCATTTCTAGTTGCCTTGTTCAGTTTCTTGTAATCAATGCACACCCTCCAGCCGGTTACTGTACTAGTTGGAATTAGCTCATTGTTGTCATTCTTAACTACTGTCATCCCTTCTTTCTTTGGTACCACCTGTACTGGGTTGACCCATTCACTATCTGATATAACAAAAATGATTCCTACCTTCAATAACTTTAGTATCTTTGCTCGAACCACTTCTTTCATTGCTGGGTTTAACCTCCTCTGATGTTAGATGGATGACTTCTAAGAATCTTCCATGAGGATTTTATGCATGTAGACTGTAGGACTTATCCCCTTGATGTCAGCTATCGACCAACCCAAAGCAGCCTTGTGATCCCTCAACACTTTCAATAATCTGTCCTCTTCGTCCCTGGTGATTGATGAAGAAATGATCACTGGAAATGTAGAATTATCTCCTAGAAATGCATAGCGAAAGTGATCTGGTAATTTCTTCAGTTCAATCTTACTGGTTTCACTGCATTCTTTATCCTCTGATTTTTGAATATCTTCACACCGTGATTGGTTGTTTTCAACTGGTGTAGATTCTAGAGCCAATATGCAATCAACTAGGTCTTTGCTCCATGCATATTCTCCAAAAGAGCCGATGTCATCCTTTGTTGAACTAAACATCAAACACTGCTTCAAGGGATCCTTAATATATAGTTTCTCATCGCTCACAGTAGAATCAATGAAGTCAATCATGTGGCATGTGTCAGTGTCGTCCGAGTACTTCATTGCTTGATAGATGTTGAACCTCACCTTTTCTTGATTAACTCTCAATGTCAAATGTCCTCCTTGCACATCAATTAATGCTCTTCCAGTTGCTAAAAATGGCCTGCCTAAAATCAGTGAGATTTCCTGATCTTCTTCAATATCCAGTACCACAAAATCAGTTGGGAAGATGAATTTGTCGACCTTTACTAACATGTCTTCAATAATACCTCGTAGGTAGGTGAGGGACCTATCAGCCAGTTATAGAGTCACTGTTGTTGGCTTGACTTGAGGCCTAACTTCTTGAATACTGATAACGACATTAGGTTGATGCTTGCTCCTAGATCACAGATGGCCTTTTCAAAGGAAGAGCTTCCAATGGTGCATGGAATAGTGAAGCTGCCTGGATCTTTTCTCTTCTGAGGAAGTTTTTTTTTTAAGAATAGTGATGCATTTTTCTGTAAATTTTACTATTTCATATTCCTCCAATTTTCGTTTCTTTGACATTACTTCCTTCATAAACTTTGCGTAATTTGACATTTATTTCAAAGCATCTACAAAAGGAATATTAATGTGAATTTTCTTGAAAATATCTAAAAATTTTGCAAATTGATCATCAAATTTTTTTCTTTTGAAAACGTTGTGGAAATGGAAGTGGTGGTGTGAGAATTGGTGGGTTGTCAGGGAAGGATATGGAGTAAGGTCTGTGAGCCTTATTTGTTCCTTTGGCCTGCTTTTCTTGCTCTTCTACTACTTGTTCTTTCTCTTTATCAGATGTGGGGTTGCTATCTTCGGTGAGTTCACTTTTTCCAACTTGCTTGCCACTCTTTAATACAACGACTTTACAATGCTCCTATGGATTGACTTCTGTATCACTTGGAAATTTTTCTTGTTGCTGAGACTTTATTGAGGTAGCCAACTGACCAATTTGTACTTCAAGATTATTCATTGTGGCTCCCATGTTGGACATGTGTTTCAATATTATCCAATCGTGATTCATCTTTGTTGAAGCGTGATCTTGTCTCAAAAATGAATGTCCCAAGGATGTCTTCCAAGGGTGGTTTCCCGTCAGAATTCTGAGTGTTGAATCTAGGTGTGTGTTTCTATTGTTGCCATATGACAAGTTCTCGTGATTCCTCAGTCCTGGATGATAGTGATTAGCTTGGTAGCTTCTTCTTTGATTGTAGTTTATACTGTTGACGTATTGGGCCTGCTCGTTTGCAACCTCTTTCTCTTGGTGTGATGAAGAAGTACTCATGACTGAATCTACCTTCTGTTGATTTCCTTGAGTGGTAACCGTGACTATTTGATTTGTGAGTGATGCAACCTGAGCTGCTATTGCTATGATGGGATCCACTTCATGAAGTCCTGCTACTTTCTTTACGCTCGATCTCTCACTTGGCCATTGGTAACTGTTGGTGGCTATGTCATCCAATAAAGCATAGGCAGCCTCTGCTGTTTTAGCCATTAAAATGCCTCCCGCAGCTGCATCTACCATAGTCCTTGTCTGTCCATTTAGCCCATTTTAAAATATTTTGATTTGCACCCATTTCTGGAACCCATGTTGAGGACATCTCCTAAACAAGTCCTTAAATCTTTCCCAGGTTTCATAGAATGGCTCGAAGTCGAGTTGCTTGAATTGGCTAATTTCACTGCGAAGTTGAGCTGATTTAGAAGGTGGAAAGTACTTGGTGAGGAATTTCTGAGCTAAATCATCCCAAGTTGTAATTGAGCCATACGGTAGTGATTGGAACCAAGCTTTCGCTTTATCCCTTAAAGAGAAAGAGAATAGGTGAAGTCTAATTGCATCTTTAGTAACCCATTCATCTTCACCGTGTCACAAATTTCCAAAAAGGATCCAAGATGAGCATTTGGATCTTCTGTTGCAGCACCCCCAAACTAATTTTGCTGCACCATATGTATCACCCCTGGCTTCAATTCAAAATTGTTTGCAGCAATTGCTGGGCATGTAATGCTAGAATAGTTGTCATTGACAACCCGCCTTATGTAGTCAACAATAGCCCGTTGTTGGTTATCCTCATTGGCTGCTCTAGCATCCTGTTCTGCCATTGCTTCCCGTTCATTTCTTTGTATGCCTCTGAGAATGCGCAATGTGCGTTCTGATTCAGGATCAATAGGTAGTAAGTCTAGATTTCTCGCTCTTCGCATAAACAGCTGAAAATAACCACAAAGAAACTCTTAAAGATAGACACAAAAAGAATAGAATAAAAAAAATAAAAATTTCGATAGAAATAAAAATCTAAAATAAAATGAACGCCGATTGGTAATAATATCAATTGAAATCGAATGA